CGTACAATGATGTTCACCACCTGCTCATCACGTGTTGGTCGCATTTACGTTTTTAGGGTACCTAGGTTCAAGCGCAACCTCTACTTTCCTTCAACCCCATTACATCCGTGGCGTTTCCGCTGTAGTGGACGCATTTACCGGCAACCGCTGCACGATTTTACATAGGTTCGCGTCGGCCGCTTGCACGGTGACGGGGAATCCGCGAGCACACGTTTCGTCGCACATTGTGATGAATACCCCCAGCCTCCCCTAAGGGGGCGGGTCTGCCTGGCCCAACCTGGCCCGACCCAACCCCGGGTCCCCTTTGACCCGACTCAGTTGGTCCGGGTCGGGCCAACTGTTTCAAGATTCTGGCCCGAGGTCGGCCCGACCCGACGTGACCCGAGGGCCCGTGTGACCCCGGCCAAATTGGGTCGGGTCGGGCCGGGTCGGGCCACATGCTCAACTCTAACGCAGAATGGTGGAGGGAGAGAAGATGCAGGCACTCAAGTCAAGTCCAGCAAGAGTTGGTTCACACATGGGGGATGCAAGACCAGCTAGAGTTGGTGCTCTCACATGCTGATCACCATGCCTTGGGCATCGCAGGTCACATGAGAGGCCCGGCTGCAGTCCCCCCCAGCCACCCACCCAGAGAAATTCCGCCCCCACGCTTGCTGCAAGTCCTGCAGGACTCGCACTGGCGGCAAATGGTGGGGGAGAGGGGTGCAGGAGGGCAAGAGAAGGATAGAGGCTGGGGCAGGGAAGAGAGGAGGGATAAATTGGCTCTCATCTCCTGCGTGTTGCACCCTTCTCTTCCTCCCTCACTCATCAGCCTGTGCCACAAGTGCGGAATGGACGCATGCGATGGTGAAGTAACTACCGTGACTCGCAGATTAAAAGTGCCACAACGATAAGCATTGTGCGCATGGGAGCATGCGCATGCCTTGGCCACTGACTTATCCGTTGATAACGACATAAGATAAGAGGTGTAAACAGTAACGAGGTCAAATAGGAGGTATATATCGTTGGGCATGACCATTCCTGAGCTCTTTTAAGCACTCCACCAAGTTATTTTACTACGAATACTAGTACTCGCGGTCGTAAATGAGCCACAACGCCCTGGTATTGCTGCAACCATCCATGGCAGCAAGCCACCCATACATCAAATCCGCCCCCTCTGCTTGCTGGAGTTCCAGCCAGCAGGAGTTGCACTGATTGCGCTAGCAGGTAGGAGAGAGGCTGCAATGGAGCAGGAAAAAGAAGAGATGAATGTATCAGCTCATCAACGCTTCGTATGGCTTTCCCTCCCTCTTTCAACCCCTGCACCAGACATCAGTAGAGCAGAGAGGTGCAATGTCAAATTGAAATTGGTCGCACAAGCTTCTAAGCACCAGGCGTTGGAAAACTATTCTAATAGAAACACGATTCTGATGGATACATGCGATAGGTTATCGTTGAGCACTGGGCGGGCCGGGCCCGGCCCGGGTCGGGCCCACCCCGGGCTGCGCAAAAAAGCGGGCCCGGCTGGCCCGGCCCGACCCGGGCCCACCCCGGGCTGCGCAAAAAAGCGGGCCCGAGCCCGCCCTCAAGGCGGGCGGGCCGTGTCCGGCCCGACCCGGGCTCTGCATGGCCCGACCCGGGCCGGCCCAGCCCGGCCCGGGTGCTGTCATGATCGCCCACAGGATGTATTTTTGGGCTGTTTCTGTTGTATTTTTGCGCTCCGATGCGGCCCGCCCGGCCCGCCTCTTATGATGCCCGGCCCGGGGCATTTTCATGCGGGCCCTGGCCCACTTTCATGCTCATCGCTATCACTGATGGCGTCACTTGACTTTGATGATCCGCCGCCGTGGCAATTGCTGAACCTGAACCCACAATAGTCGTGCATGACATTTTGCTCGTGCGGCATGAGCTCAACCAAAGGAAACACAGCAGAAACTCCGTAGATCAGTGTGACGCACGCTGGCAACCAAGCCGAATGCGTCCGCGTCATGGTGGTGCCATCGTGGTATGTGAGCCTCCATGGAACCCTTGCTGGAATGCATCAAACTACCATCACCAAGGATCCAGAAGACATGAGATTTATCAGCACAACAAATACAGGAAGATTACGTGGTGGGGGTCGAGGGCGGGCCACTGATTGCTAAGCTCGTTTTGCAATGATCCCAAAATTTTTGCCCCCCATACTATGTACTACTAGGTTCTGCTACAATCAATTTTGAAACAGGAGCTACGGCGCAGCGATGCACGGCGCGGCTGGCCTGGCCGGCCCAGCGCCTAAGGAGAGGCGCCTTAGCTAAGAAAGAATAAGAGGAGAGTCTTGCAGCAGAAGAAAAGGGAGCTAGGCTGGAGGGAGAAGCCCAGCTCTGGAGACGTAGATGAAAGAAGAGAGAAGAAGACTTTCAAAAATATAGGTTTAAAGACTCTAAGGAAAGAATAGGATGAGATTATAATACAGTATTTTGAGGTGGATATTAATGCTAGGAAGAAGGGATGGCGACTTGGGGGAAAACCGTCACGGTTTTGGGGTCTTGGCACTCAATCTAGCATGGCATTTTGGCATAACGCCTCGATGCCATGTCCTGCTTGATTTTAGTAACATCTAATCACTGAGGAGGATAAGGGAAAGGGAACTACCTAGGCAAAGGGAGGTTCCAACCGTTCGGGTATTCCCATGCACGCAGGCATGGCGAATCCCATCTTGTTACAAATTTGCTCAACAGCTCTATATCTAGCAGAACAAGTACATAGCACGGGGGTGAAACAAAAGGTTCCTCGAACGAACCTTGGGAGTCGACGAACGGGACACAGCGGACTGGAGAAAACACGGCGAGACACGTCAGAAAGATGAGTAAGCTGAGCCGAATGAGGCGCCCCGCCTCGTCCGAAGTTGCCATCGAGGTGCAGCGATTCCAGGAAATGGTTGTTTTCAATCGTTTGTGAAGTTGTGTGCGTCACAGAGCCGAGCCTAATTCTACAGCCTAATATCTGTAGACGGTTAAACCAAAAAAATAGTGTTACCAGCAGACGAGGAATCCCGAGAGGAAGCTACTAAGCTAGGAAATGAAGTGGAGAAGACAGCTGCAGCAGGGAGGTGAGGGTGGGAGTTGAGGGCGATGATGATCGCCCAGTTCCTAGCCAAAATTTCTTTGCAGATCTCTTGCGTGGCTCCAACATCCCAACCAGGGTTGGTGACGTGGAATTAGCGAGTTGCGACCTCCCAAATCAGCCGTGGATTGTGGTGTGGATCCCGACGGATGCGAATGGACTGTCAAGTTACCATTCTCTCGCGATTTCTAGGGTGACAAGTTTCAATGGTGGCGTGGCATGCCAGCAGGGCGTGTCCAGCTACCAAAAAATCCCGCCAGGTCTGCGACTTGACGAATCAGGACAGAAGCTGACCCTGTTTGACGAACACCGACCTCTTCATTCTCTCTCACAGTAACGGAACGAATCGAAACCCTAATGGACCCTACAGCAAATCTTCCAGTATACAAAGAGCAAGTAGCTATTGAACAGGATTATGGCACTAGCGACCAGCGATTTGGCGACCTGGCGACATAGCGAACTACTTACTGCTCAGCCCGTGACGTACTGCTCAGCCCGCGACCTGCCTTATCGCGACCTTAAATCGTGAAGTGCTCACAAACGATATGGTAGAGCTGATAGAGTTCCATCGTGCGAATTTCAAGTTGACTAGAAAATCGGCAAGATGGCACTTGCATGTGATGCTCACAATTTAATCCGTACTAGCTACAGGATGTCAGAACGTGGTAGAACATTCGTATCACGAAGGGGACATCACTTTCGCACCTCCTCCCCACTCCCAATCCTTCTTCGCCCTTCCACAATCCCTCCTGCGCGACGGCGCCGCCGCAAAAGGCACGAATGCGCAATTGACAGCAGGAGGCATCAGAGAAAGAAACAGCGCTCTATTCTGCCGGCCTCCCTCCCGCAGCTTCCTGCCAATTTCTTACTTTCCTGGCCATGATTCTTCCACCTGCTCGTTGGATAGTCTTAATAGAAACATAAACTTTCGCCCAGTCAGCGGTAGTAGCGCTAACACTGTTGGCTGTCATCCCTAATGTTTCCTATTGGCGACGGCGAGTCGAGCGAGTGTCCCGTGCGTCGCCAACTGCTTTGCGAGTGCCGAAATTGTAGGTTGCGAGAGGCGGCCTCCCGAGCATCGCGGGCGTCGAAGCTGCACGAGCAGCTGGCGATGGCGAGTCAATATGACGAGCAACGGCACCGTCATCGTCATCGCCGCTTTTGACAACTCTCATAAGTCATCGACGCTGCTGAAAGGATAGCTCAATCCCTGCTCCTTGTTTCCTCCCTGCTCCTTTCCACATGCTTGTTCCCTCCCTGCTCCTCACCAGATTTTGCTCCTTATCCTCATTCTGTACGTGTTGCGAGGCAATATCCATTTGCCATGTACCCTTCCGGGCGGCCATCTCGTCGTCTTTGTCGTTGACCATTCTGCCCGATCAGTTGCGTCCTGCTCAGAGCACAATCGGTGTCCTGTTGAGGTCACGTATGGCTGGGTGCTGCATGGCTGGGTGCTGCATGGCTGGGTGCTGCATGGCTGGGTGCTGCATGGCTGGGTGCTGCATGGCTGGGTGGCGTTACACGCTTGGCTGGTCGTCACCTACCCGCGCTACATGCCGGTCCCAAGCTGGACCAGTTTCCCTCCCCTGCCTTTAGTCGCAGTGCTACCCGCAGCAGCACGCTAGACAGCAACAGTGCTGTGCGTATAGGCAGCATAGCTACCTCCAGAGGTATGACTTGCAGCAGCAAGCTAGGCAGCACTGGTGGGAGTATGTGGACTCCACATGGCAGCAGCATCGGTTTTACCACCAGCAGCAACGATAGAAGCTGCAGTGGCAGCAGAGGCGATGGCGACGACAGTTTATTGCTGGCAGGGGTGAAGCACATGGTGGCTGTGGCGTTCGCGAAAGGCGGCGTCGGCAAGTCCACCACTGCTGCTGCACCTCACTGAATCACCGCCTCACCGCCTCACCGCCATGCCCCTCGCCGCTTCCTCTCCGCTCATCATATCCCACCCTCTCCTCCCCCTCCTCTCCACTGCCCTTCCCATCCGCCTTCGTCACCTGCCTATCACCCTCCCCACCCTCCTCCTGTTCCCCCTCCCCACCCACCTTCCCTTCCTCTCTAACCCATCCACCTGCCCACCCCCCCTTCCCGTCAGCCTCCCCATCCCCCTTTCCTTCACTGCATGTCGACAGGCTCCCATACACGCTGTACTCACCCCTGCCTTCTTCCACACATACCATTCACCCCATTCTATCACCCCCTTCCTTTCCTTAAACCCCTCTCGCCCCATGCACCTGACCGCGTGCCTCCCCCTGTATGCCTCTTCCGCCGTGCCCCTCACCCCGCACCTCTCAATGCATGCCTCTAATCGCATGCCCATCTTCCCTTATCCCCCCATCCCCGCATCCCCCTCATTTAACCATCCCACATTCCCTCCTCCCCTCCTCCCCCCAATCCCATCGTCCCCTCCCCCTCCCCCACCTCTCCCTCTTCCCCCCACAGTGAACCTGGCAGTGGCACTCGCAAATGGGGCTGCTGGACGCTGACGTGTTCGCCCCTCACTGCCCAACCTGCTCGGCCTGCACATTGTCGCCTCCTCCCCCTTCTTGCCCGCTGGGCCTGGAGACTGCCGGCTGCCCCCTGCTCGCCTCGCCCTTCCCCCACGCATGCAGGCGCACGGCATGCTCTGCATGTCCGCTCACGTGGGCTGGGAGTGTGGGCTTCCTCATGCCTGCACACGTGGCGACCGTATGGCGTTGGCCCATGGTGATGTGATGGCGGCAGTGGAGAAGCTTGTAAGGGGGACGGAGTGGGGGGGATGGACGTGCTCGTGGTGGACATGACGCCCGGCATGGTGACGTGCAGCTCACCTTGAGCCAGCGGTCAGGCTGTCAGGTGTGTGGCAGATGGGATGGGATGGGTTCGGATGGGTTGCGATGGGAGGGAATGGGTTGGGATGGGAGGGGATGAGACAGGAGGGGAGGGGAAGGGAGGACATAAGATGGGATGGGTTGGGTCGGCATGGGAGGGAAGGGAAGGAGATGGGATGGAATGGGATTGGTTGGGATGGGATGGGATTGGTGCAGCGAGTAGAGGAGGAGTTGGGATGGATGGGTGGGATGGAGTGAGGCTAGCACAATGGAAGGTAGGGAGGGCATGACCGTGGGAGTGGGTGGATGCATGAGTGGTGGTGGCCATACTGCATGGCATGGCAGCAGGGGGGTACAACAGGGGAGGGGCAGCAGGGGAGGGGCGGCTCGGCTTCTAAGGCCACACTGCCTGCCCATGCTCTCAGCTCTGCTGGCGATGCCCATGCTCCCATGCGGTCACTTCCACCAGCAGCACGGGCGGATGAAAACGGTGGGGCAATGGATGTGGTGGTGGTGATGATGGCCATGGACGCCACCAGCAGTGCTGGGAGCACCAAGGCACTGGAGTGTGGTGGGTGCACAACCCCAGCTGCACATCCCTACTGCCTGCCCGCTCACCCGCCTAGCACTATGCCCGCTGACTCCCTCCCACTGCTGCATTCGCTTCATTTGCTCGTGGCGCTTCATTTTCCACCACTGTTCATTGCTCACCCTCACCAGGAGTGGTGGTATCGACGCCGCGCAGGACCTCACACTGATGGATGTGTAGCGAGGAATGAATATGTCCTGACAGATCAACGTGCCGGTGGTTGATGGGGTGGTGGGACTGTGTGAGTGAGTGGAAGTCGTGTCAGCAAGTGCATGTACCTGTGGGCTGTTCGTACTCCAATGACCGGTTGCCTCACTTGTTGAGAGAACCCGGTGGAACTGGTCATGGCGGAGGTGGGTGGGGCGGGTACCTGGCAGAGGCAGGTTGCTCGAACAGGTGGTTCCTGGGGTTGCAAAGCAATTCTTTTCAGTGGGTTTGTGGGAGAAGTGGTTTGGCGCTTTCATTTGTTCATGGCAAGGGTGGTTCATGACAGAGGATTAGGTGCTTGCCCTGTGACCCTTTTCCTTTTGTTTTGTTCATCACAACATACCCCTCCCACTCTTGGCCTATTTTCCCCCTTCCACCCTTCCCCGGTTGTAAATCTCTACTTTCTTGCCCTGCATGCTTTCATTTGTCTACTCCCTACGGCTTCCCTTTCTCCTCTGCTGGCACCCGTCCCCCACCCCTCTTTCACCCGCCAATCCCCGTTCTTCTGAATTCTCCCGCCATCCATCTGCAGCCAGTCCGACAACGGCCGCTGTCTTACTCTCGGCGCTTCGGCTGCTGCTGCAAGCGGGAGAGAAGGCGGGGCGACATACAGTGGGGACAGCTGTAGACGGGGCAGCAGTCGATGGCGTGGCAAACGGTGGGGCGTCAGAAAAAAAGGGTGGGGGGGAGGTGGGGACGGCGGGAGGGAGGGAGGATGGGTGTTGGGGAAGGGGAGGGTGAGCAGGGGGAAGAGGACAGAGGATGGGACAGATGCTGGGAGTGGTGTGTTAGAGGCGGCAGTGGTGGTAAGATATGAGTGCCTGGTGAGTGGCTCCGTCTTCCTTGCCTTGCCCACCGTTCCCACCCCTCTGTGCCTACCTGGTCACTGCCTCCCCTGTCAGCACACCCATCCCACGGATCCTTGCATGCGGCGTTCATCCGTGCACCCGCCCCGGCTACCAGCGCTCTTGCCATCGTCTCTTTCCCTGTCTGTCCTCTGTCCAGCCCTCCTCCCCCCCTCCCGCTCCTCTGACCCCTTCGTCGCCTCCTCTGGGTTTGATGTGGTTTCCAGCAAGTTGCGCTTACTCCACGCGGTCCTCTTCCGTCTCCCCTCCCCGACCAGCTCCCTTGACCTCCACCCATTCCACAGCTTCCTGCATCCTGAGTGGCATTCTTTCTCGCTCGGCGTTCCCCATCCTCTCCTCGCCTCCTGGTAGAAAAGGCCCTTCCTCCACCCACACCCCGCTCCCCCCAGGTCACCCCAGGGGGCGTGGTGTCTGGTGTGTGCCACGGATTGCCAGCAATGGAAGGAATTCACAGCTGGCAGGTTGAGCTGGCATGCCGCGTGGAGGGGCGAGGAGGGGCGGGGGGGAGAGAGAGCAGCAACAGAAACAGCTTTATTCCGAGAAGCAGCATGGGGGATGCGTGTGATGCCCGCAGAGACAGTGAAGGCAGCAGTGGGAGGGCAGTGTGGTGGGCCGGGCATGGCATGATGGCAGCAAGGGTGCATTACGAGGTGCTCACACAGGACATACTGCTCGCCCTCGCTGCTTACACCTGGTCAGACGCTCACCCATTCCACAATCCATTTCACTTGTTTCACGAACTAAGGAGGGGAGGAAGGGGGGAAGAAGGGGGGGGGGGGGGGGGGGAGGGGGGGGGGGGGGGGGGGGGGGGAAGGGAGGAGGGAGGGGTATGCAGCACAGTGGGTGGTGTGTAAACATATTTCTGTGTTTCTGCCTGAAATTACACTTAGCCTGCCCAATCCACCTCTTCTGTATCATGTGCACGCTTCTGTATGCAACGAATCGTGCACTGTTTGAAATGCGCACATTCCAACTTGGCAGAGGAGAGTCGGCGCTGCACATACTCCAAGCGTCCTTTGAGGAGTCTCTATTTTCACCTCCCCAACCTCACGTTCCGCCTTGGTCCCTCCCATATCAGCCATCAACTGCTCCTAGCAGTCTGCACTCGGAAAGTTCCAGCAGCCACATGATCGGTCTTAAATGTGCGCTCTAGTGGGGGAACGGGTGCCAGGATCACTTTGCACATGCACTGCTGCAGGAGCAACTACACCGTCCAACCCCAACGCCTGTAGTAACAGCATTGTGGTGGTTGTGCCTATAGCAACTCCTCCCACCCAACTCAGCTTCTCCAACGCCCGCGATTATCCTCCCTGTCCTCTCCCATGTGCCTTTCAGCTGGCAGCAGCTCATTTCTACAACTCCATCGCACCGTGCCCAGCAGCACTCCACTCCACGCCACCCTCTTTCCTCTGTCGTCCCCCTCTTGCCATTCACTCCGTAGATGAACCATCTCAGCTCCTCCCCATCCCAGCTCCTCCCCATCTCAGCTCCTCCCCATCTCAGCTCCTCCTCATCTCAGCTCCTCATCTACCCACCATCACCCTCCCATTTGCTTCCACACCGGCCCAGCCGAGCAACATCATCTTGGTATGGGAGCATCAAGGGGAAGAAGATTGCCATCTTGATATCTCTTCTTCCCCTTCATGATCCTTTTATTCTTTTCCGTTCACATTCTCATTTTCCCGCTCTGTCCCTGTAAACTTCCTTGTCTCCCTATGCTATGCCCTCCCTTCTGTGATTCTTACGGTCAACAACTATTCCCAGCATCCCCTGCCACCCAGTTCATCCCGTTGTGTTATGCCCTTCATCCTACTATGTCATGCCCCTCATTAGATCACCCCGTGCACGAACCAAGTGTGTGTCCCTTTCCCGTTTGTATCCTCCTCTTCTACCCGCCATTGCTTCCCCATTGCCTCATGCATCCTCTTGCTCCTCTACCCACCATCCCAGCCAAGCAGCAGAGTTGGAACCGCTTTGCAAGTGCACCCCATCCCATTCCTCATCCCATACATCATCCCACACCTCACCCCATACCCATTCCATACCGCATCCGATCCCGCATCCCATACCCCAAATCATACCTCATTGCATACCTCATCTCATTCCTTGCCCTTACCGTCATTTCATATCTCATCCCATGCCTCATCCCATGCCTCATCCCATATTTCATTCCATACCTCATCCCATGCCTCTCATGCCTCATCCCATACCTTATATCACATCCTCCCTATCCTCTCCTTCTGCCTTCAGCCAGCTGTCAGCAGTTTGATCATACGATTGCATATACCCTGCGCTTCATGCCTTTGGGTCATGCCCCTTCTTTATGTTCACTCGAACATCTTCCAGTTTGAAGGATTTTGCTCCTCTCACTGTTGTCGCCTGCTGTCACTCAGAGCAAGGTTGCTGAAGTGAAGGCAGTGCTGACAGAAGCATTGAGGGCAAGGGTGACTTCGAGAAAGGACGATGGCGATCAGTTTGAGGCTCAAGTGCGCAGCAGCATGCATCACAGGTTCCCCTTCCTATGCAGACACAAGCCCACATTATCCTGCTTCGCGTCTGCCATCTGTGCCATGTCACACACCCAGCCAGCAGACAGACCCCTCTTAATGTCTAGCTGCCACTCATTCACACCACCTTGGATCCGTAAATTGTGATGCAACTCTTTAAACAGAACGAATGTGTCCATACTGTTGCCTTGAGATGATAATTCTGTGGGTTCTATTGGGGCAGCAGCAGATGAACATCGTTATACACATGCCTTCCTCAATTTGACAGGAATGCATTTTAGATTCTGCTGTTTCTACCGGTGGTACGAGTTCAGAGAAATTGTACACCTGCTGCACTAAAAAGCAAGCAGGCATACCATGCATGCAGCTTTCCCTCGTGCACCTAGTCCTTTGCCCTACACATTCAACTGTCCAACTGCAAGACATGGGATTGATAACTTTTCCAAGTCTAAATTAAATGCAAGTTCTGCAGCACCACCACTCTGCCTCATCCCTCTGCACCGCATTCTTCACATCCCTTGCCTCCACACCGCTTGTCATTCTCCCTTTAGACAGCCACAGCCAACTCTTCCCTCGCCTCACCTCCCTTTCCGTCATCACTCACTACCACTTCCTGTTTATCCGCCAGCATACGTCACCATCCAAATAAAAATCCCCTCCTGGCAGCGAGAGATTTGTCAGGTTCGTCAGGGCAGACAGGTGCCGCAGCCCAGCATCCGTGACTGCGGTGCCATCTAGAGAAAGATCCTCAAGCCCTGCCAGCTTCCCCACATGCACCATGCCAGCACCTGTCACACTTGTGCACTTGATAAGGACCAGTGCTTTCAGAGAGGACAGAGGTCTCAAGTGCGCCAGGCCAGCATTGGTCACCTTCGCTTGATTGAGAAAGAGGTACTGGAGACTGGTCAAGGACCCAATGCCTTCCAAGGCACTGTCTGTTATATATTTTGCGCAAAAGAGGTCTAGCATCTCCAGCTGTGGCAGCTTGTAGAGGTGCTTGATTCCCTCTGCACTGAAGCCTGCGCTATGCTGAAGTACAACTCCCCTCAGATGTGCCATTGTGGACACATGCCCGAGGATGTCGGTTGAGAGGCAGTGGCAATGCCTCAGGTCTATACTGAAATATTTTGCCTGGAAGAAATGGGTTGAGAGGGAAAATTTGACAGAACAAGGGGTGAATATATGGCGATAAGACAGAACTAGCAAGCAGTGAATGCCAAGTGGAACAAGGCATGCCTGTGCAACAACGCACTCAGCACTCACCTCCAATGCTTTCTTCCGATCACCTTCACTCTGCCTAATTTCCAGCTCAACATTCAACTTCAAATCTTGTATCCTCTGCCCTTCATTACAGGCTGCCGATTCCTCCGTGGCATGTGGCCAATTCACCTCCTGCACCTCCCTCCTCCTCTCCTCCGCTGTCTCTTCTTTCCTTCTCTTTCTACTCTTCCCTCTTAGCTCTATTTCATCCGATGCCCTGCTGAACTCAGCCGGTTGCTCTACTCTTGAGTCCATGAGTTCCGCCAACTGCCCCTTAACCGCTTTCAACTCCCCCTTAACCGCTGCCAACCCCCCCTTCACTGCTTTCAACATATGCCGCAACTCATCCAACTCCTCGTTGTGCCCAGTCAGCTCCTCCCTCACTGCTGCCAGTGCCGCCTCTTTGACCACTTCAATCAGTGGCCCCATTGCCCTCTCGGCAGCCATAGTATCCAGTGGACTCTCCTTCAACAGCCCTGCTTCAATCACTGATCCTGGCAATCAACCAACTTCTTCACTGCAGACTGTCAAAAGTAGACAACACCTGAGTGGGGTGAGGGGTAAGGTCGGGTGCAAAGAGGAAGTTGGTTGTGAATGCACACACAATGGGAAAACACTCGTGTGGGACGAGGCACAAAACGATGAACCACTCAGTGAGAGACGAAGCTTGTGCACACACATGCAGTTGACACGAGATTAGACTTCAGTGGAATAAGGGGAGGCCAGGGGGAGGAGCAGAAGAGACAAGATATCAGGGAGGGGCAAGAAATGTGGGTGGGTACTGCCAAGCTGGGACATGGGAAATAGTTGCAACAATGGGGAAACGAATGCACAGAGCGAAGGGTGGAGACCAGCAGAGAGCAGGGAAGACTGCAGGTTAATGTATGTGGAGCACAGTCGGCTGGCACACAGAGGGTTGGTATGCTAGTGGTGTGGCGCAGGTGTGAGCTGAACGATTAGGGCAGCAACAATGTCATAGGTAGAACGGTAGTAAGAGTGACAGTTATTGGAAAGGCAACTGTTGGGCAGGAAACTAGTAGAGAAATATAGTGTGGCCTGCCAACTCTTCGCCTTACCACAGTCAGGAAGGCGAGAGAAGGCGGAGCGAGCACACACCTAGGGTAGTGAGTGAATGCCATAGTAGGAATGAATGAGCAGCTCGGTGAGCCGAGACAGACGATCCCTGAAATCGACTTGCAACGAGGCTTGGACCCACCTCGTTTTCAGAGAGCTGGTCAACTTGGGACGAGAGCGACTCAGGTCGCGCTGGGTTTCTACGACACACTTTCCAAGTCAGATCCAATGCATTCAAGATCTACAGTTCTCATACCTCCTCCATTGGAGGAGGTCGGCAAGGAGTGCGAGACATGCAAAATCCCCCGAGCTAGTTGACGACTACAATTTCTTTTTTTAATCTGTGTCGTCAAGGGTCAAGTCAAGTTGGTTCAGCCTAATGGGTAATGCATCGCCCAACTCGACTTGACATTTCCCAAGTCGTCACTCGCCGGGTTGGTGATTCGATGCGACACACACACCTGCCTCGTGTCTAGTCGAATAGGTTGGCACGACGACCCATTTATTGCACTTACCTGGGCCATGATAATCTTGTTCAAATACAGGGATTTTACAAATTTGAAATCCAGCTTTGGCCTTATCTCGCCTGTTTTGTTTGTAGAGCCACGCTGTTTGACTTCAATTGTTTTCCTTAGCTCCAACCTATCCAGTTTGGAATCTAAAATTTACATCTTCTTGCTTCACTTCCAAGCGTTTGGCTTTGGTTCATTCTAAACGGCGTGTTTTGGAGTTGAGCTGAAATCATAAGGCCACTCAGTATGAAACACAGTCACACATTCACTCTGATGCATACATGTCATGTCGAGCACCATGGTTGCCACACTGGGACCTGTGCAATGTGGAAGGCCGCGACTGGGGAGATAAAAGGAAGACACTTACCTTCGATTAGGATTTGTTAGATCGCCGTGGGTGTGCGGCTCGCAAGATGATTCAACAGCGGCTGTGTGGAGTCTGTACGTGTCGTGAGGGAAGGGAGGAGAGGAGAGGATGGCGGGGAGACAGGGTGGGGAGGCGCTCTTATGAGTACGTGACACGTCTGACTGTCACACTGGCTGACACGTGCTTGTTATAGCAAAATGGACCTTAATGCACCCACCAGGTCGAGACAGCTTCAACTCGCGCGTCGACTCGAGTCAGGGGCAACTCAACCCACAAATTAGCGTCTCGAGTCAGGCACGCTCGACATTCCACTTAACTCGCCCTGTGCAAATGCCACGAGCTATGTTAATCACTGGAAAGTTCAATGAGAGCCTAGGTCAATGAGAGCCCAGGTCGATGAGAGACCAGGTCGATGAGAGACCAGGTCAATGGGAGCCTAGGTCAATGAGAGCCTAGGTCAATGAGAGCTCAATGGCATCATGGTTAATCAGCCTAGACGAAGAAAGGGTAGCACGGGAAGGGTCCAGGCTATCGACGCTGCTGGTCACAGCCTGAGTTGGTCACAGCCTGAGTTGGTCACAGCCTGAGTTGGCCACAGCCTGAGTTGGTCACAACCTGAGCTGGTCACAGCCTGAGCTGGTCACAACCTGAGCTGGTGACAGCCTGAGCTGGTTCCAGGCTTGCTTGGGTGAGTGACAGCGTGACTCCATGAACCAGGGCGAAAGCAGCAATGCTAAGAGGGGGAACGAATGCGTCAAGGGGCTCTGCTGGTCTCTTGGCAGTGTGCGGAATCCGTAAGCAACTCCGTGTGTAACCAACAGTTGCGCACTGACAAACCTACGAGCACCCCTGAGTTATGAACTGTGAGCCTCAGGCTTGCAAAGCTTGAAAGCGAAGGTCTGACTGGGGAAAGGATGGGGAGGATTGCCTTTGATTAGGGTTTCTTAGACTATCTTGTTTCCGCGGCTCGAAGTGACTTTGGTACGTTGATCTGCAGCGCGTGGTGTGTGATGGCGCGGCGCAAAAACTTGAAAGTGGCGCGACGGAAGGAGGCGAGCGGCCATAATAGTAACGAGAGCACAGGGTGCGCGGAGTATAGCACGAGTCGCACTGGAAATGGCGTCGCCGTGGCCGTACTGGTTTTGTAGAAGCGATTTGAGTCACCTTCTCTTGCGATGAGAGATAGAGCTCTTGCAACCTACGCCTACTATACGTCACGACTCACCACACACTAGTAGTAGTCGCTAAACATAGCTAAACCTACGCCCACTATGCGTCACACCACCCTCTTTCTCGCTATCAGCTGATTGCCCCCGATTGCCTGAAATTGGCTTCCAGGCTTCCTCAAAGATGTAGATCGCTTCTGATCGAGGCGATCAAACTCGATTGGGCCCACATCCTTAGCAGTTACCACCCGCTCGTGCGTGGAATTTCTCAGTTCGCCAGTGAATTAGTTATGTGAAGCAAAGTGCAAAACAATCAGCAGTGCATCGTTGTCATTTTGCCCAAGTACGTGTATGAATTTGGGCGACTCCGGTTTCGATGCCAGAGGTCGTGAGCCTGATACAATCTTCAACTACTGTTCGCATTTCGGAAGCAAGATTCTTTGCGCGGCGTCATTTACCCTTTTAAATGGCCGCTCGCCAGCTTCGTACACCCATCATTCCGTTTGAGGAAACCATATGCA